AGTTTTTTATAGTCTTCGTTTCCAAATTCAAACACGGAATTTCATTTTCGCCTTCTACTTTTCTGTTTACACAATAACAAAGTGCCATGGCCAAAACGACCAAACGTGAGACATAGTGAACGAATCTTTGGCATCGTTTTCACTATTTGAAACGCTTTTGCTTCCTGACGTCGCTGTCATACGTTTTCGTGTGAACAGAACGTACGTGAAAATGGTACTTTCAGTTTCAGAAATTAATGCATTCCAACCAAAAACCGAAAAACGCTCGGAAAGCGACGGAAACGGTACCGTGTGCATATAGTCTGAGTAACGAGTGTCTTAGACTGTGGTGCAGACGGTCATCTCCGCAAAGTCAGAAAAGTTATCCAAGTATTACCCTGGTTCCAGAGGTTTATTTTTATTATTTTCGTTGCGAAGGGGAGGAAAAATAAACCTCTGGTTGAAAGCGGCCGAATTGATTCATTGAGTCGAGCCAATCAGTTTGAATTAGGGTCAGATCCTGACTCTGTCTCCTGATTGGATGATCGTATTAAAGCTCTCTGATTGGTTATAGATGTTCTATTTGAACCAATCAGAGAACTTTAATACAATCATCCAATCAGGAGACAGAGTCAGGATCTGACGCTAATTCAAACTGATTGGCGCGGCTCAATGAATCAATTGCCGCTTTCAACCAGAGGTTTATTTTTCCTCTCCCCTTCGCAATGAAAATAATAAGAATAAACCTCTGGAACCAGGGTATCCAAGTATCTGCACGTGGTTGCACTCATATTTTGTTTCAATATTTTCATGGCAATTTGATGAATTTGACATTTTTTATCCCCAGGCGCCGAATAGACAATTTATATTTTCTGTATTTTGAGCAGTCTTAAAACTCTTAGTGCCGGATAGTGTTAACTGGGCTTTTGTACGACCCGATTTTCCAAGAGTTTAAATTTTATGCGTCAGAAAGCGAGTAAAACGGATATGATCATATGCAACCGATCGACGATACCGATCGCTGTATGCGGTATGTTTTTCAAAACTGTAGGCTGATCAGAGTTAACAGTAATTTCGCTAAAGAACTAAAGAAGACAAGTCCGTTCTTATGGCATGGCTCGTCTTTCTCTTGGTCTTCTTCTCATGTGCCTGTGGAGTCTTCTTGAGGATCTTGCGCCTCTGGCGACTCAAAATATTCTCTTTGGCTTTGACTGCGCTTTGCAGTCTCAAACGGATTAGCTGGTACGTCTTTATGTGCTACTCGCACTCGGTTTCCCTTACGGCAAGTTTGCTCGTGCCTCTTATGGTAATCGTCGGGCCGTATGTTAGATAACGTTTATGGTTAATACGTTTTCCCTCGTGAAATAAATAATAAAGTTTCTATAGTCGTCAAAAATCGAATTACATTTAAGACACTAAAGTTTTAGTCTTTTTCTTTTGGGTTTTGAACCGCGCATAATTGATAAAGAGCCTTCGCTATAAGAGCAGTCGAGCGAAGAACATGCCCGGAAACGTGGGTTTCACATTTCAGCCTCCCGTCGATTTTCGACAAATAAAAGACTAATAGTGTTACTAGAAAATAGAAGTACATTTAAATGGTTTTGACATAAGGCCACACAAACCATTATTTTAAATCCAAAATTTATCGCTTTATTTATCGCCTTCGTTCTTAACTTTTACAATTTGCTGAATGCCGATTTCGCAATTTGCCGAACAGTAACGAAGCAATTTGCCGACTGGGGCCGACTTGCGAAAATTATTGGGGGGGTGAAGCACCCCCCCCCCGCTCGCGACGGCCCTGCACAAAGCTTTTCGCGCGGATTATATTTCGTGGAGTACTAAATATTATATTTTGTGGTTTTCGAGTCATTACACAAAGAAAAACACATTAATTCAACACGCAAGAAAGTCCAGAGTACGACGCAACGTAAAATACATAGGAAACCGGCACAATTCTTTGAAAATTCAACGAAACTGTGTAAAATATAGTTTGATCACTCTGTGAAAAGCCGCCATTGCAGTTCGGAATTGTGTGCATGCGTACAAGTGTATAGGCTAATAAACGAAAAATGTACCACAAGCATGGCATGAGTCGGCTATTACGTACATATATACGAGCTTATTACTATACTATCTAAATCATGGAATCGAGGGAATCGATGGTATTTTGGCTTAATCGTTGCATTCTGAGCCTGCGATGAGCTAACGCAAACTCGATTTCTCGACTACGAAAAAAACAGAAAAAGAGGGATTTAAGACACTTGGCCTTACAGGCCAGTGTAATTAAATACGACTTGATAATTGTGTCTGAGTGCACGTATAATGTTACGTCATCACAATGGAATGCTTAAGGACAAAATGCGCAAACAGAAGTGCAAATTGCGAACATTCTTTAATATCAAATTTCAATTCATTGATATCACAAAGCACAGAACGAACAACAAAATCTAGAACTTGGAATGCAAAATTCAAACATTAATTTTGGCGGTAATCACCCTCCATAGTGGCTGTGCAGACAATCCGAAGATGTTGACGAACCGCCAAGTTCAGTTTTACGAACTGCGCCATCAAACATAGTCGAAGAAACAAAACAATTAACTATGGTATTAAAACATATACCATACCGTCACATACCATCGTCCACGACAAAGCCATCTCACTATCCCACATTTCATCCGTATACGCAAACGTCATTCGTATTTAATCAACCAATGGGTATACCAACATTTACCTATTACCCAAGTCATTTACCCGACACCTTCATGCAGTATCCATATGTTGATATGCCATCAGCCTTGAAGCAATCCCCTTTCCATGAATTGATTCGTCAGGGTGAAGCCGAGTTAGCACCAACGTTTCCAGTTAATGCACTTGAAACGAAGGTTTATTAGCCACTCAACCGATTCAAGAATGCCCACGGATGCATTGTCTTATGCAGAGCCACCAAAGAACTCAAGTTCATATGATTATGAAATCCCTGAAAGTCAGTGCCAAAGTATTGCAGACGAAGATTCAGAAAAGCGAGATGCAGCCAATGCAGCCACACAACTTATGAATCTTGCTAGACGTTGGGCGCACAGAGGCATTAAAATGAAATTTCAAATTAGAAACAAACATCAGTTACGTTCGTAAGCCATATACATTTTAATACTGGTTCAAATTTATACTTTTATGCTTGAATACACATTCAGCACAATTTAAAACATTTGATATCATTTACATGCATGTATTTATATTTTGTTCTATATTCTGTTAATAGACGTATAGACGAGTTAAACACCGAGGCAAGAGACAAACAGAGCACGAGGTATTTACCTAAATAAATGCATCACGAGTAGTTTATAATGAGATATTTGTCTAGATATATACCTCATTAAAGTATTCATTAGGTATATATATCTAGTTAAATATATCATGAATAGTTTGATGAGGTATTTATATAGTTATATGGGCCTCATTAAACTATTCATTCATGAAGTATTTTGTGACTATAGGATATATTAATAATACCTCCTGATGTGTGTTTGAGCAATTCAAATTCATACATCACCCTCGCTCTTTCCTGCTGAAAATCGAATCCCTCCTCGGGCTTTCAAAAGATGGACGAGTAATTTACGCTAAATCCAAGGCTATAGCTCTTGAATAACAAAATAAGCCGACTCAATCATGAAATAAAAATCAATTATAAACTATACTGTATACTTTAGTTTGGTACTTTGCATACAAGTACACTTGTATGGAATGTCGACATAAAAAAAAAACACATTAATTTAATTTTGTTGATATTAATATTATAGTAATAATTACTCTCTAATACATGTTATCATCAATTTTCAATTTTTTGAGTTTTGTGCACAAGAAAATCAGTTGACTTTTCAATACCGTACTTCTACAGCGTGTGTCAGAAAACCAGACCTTTACAAATCAACCTTTTGTTGTTGAGCAAAACACTTTTGAACGTAAACAAAAAAAAAAACAAAAAAAAAACGCCTTTGAACGTAAACAAATCTTTTACAGTATAACTAGTACTCAAAACATTCATACTGTACAGGGCGTCCCAGAAAAAACGAAAACTATTGAAATCACCAATAACAATTTAATTGTTAGAATTTAAATGCCTTTGCACTCTGTTGGTTCCCACGAGTGCATAAATGATTGACATAAGTAAATTTTATGCATAAAGAACTGTTTAAGAAGCTGAGCAGAAAATCGCGCACTTTAAGCCCGCCGCACACGAGAGCAACTTGCTGAGCTAACCGCCTCGCGTGGCAGCTAGCTCAGCTATGTATTTTCACCGCACACGTTAAGAAAACTACTCAACAACAACATAAATGACAAAATCATTTGCATTTTCCTCCATTTTATTCCAAGTCACATGAAGAAACCATGGTTTGTCATTGGCTAATTGATTCAAAGAGCTCTGTACTTAGCTCACAACATCCGCAGACGCTGAGATTTTTTCCTCGCGAGGCGAAAAATATCAAGTCAAATTTAAACATTTGTAAGATTAGTCAAATTTAAACATTTGTAAGATTATTAAAACATGCTTTAGACAATTAAAGCAGTATATATAGTTAAATTCCTGTTGATTATTTCAAGCATAATTTGACTCGATGTCGTCGAACTGACCGCGTCGTACATCGTAAACTCCCTAATTTGCCGCTTGCGATGCCTCCCAGAAGAAATTCCAAAAATGTACTGTATTTGTAGCTCCGTCTATGATGTTCATATATTCAGTACCATTAACAGATATTAACAAATTTAAAGTGGCATTTGGAAATTCCACCTTTTTGACAACCTCTACACACTGTTCACCAACTGGAGCACTTGGGCCATAAAGACGCGTGCCTATTTCAGGAATTTTTACTCCGGCTTTATCGAAGAACTTTATTTTTGCTGGGTCCTTTGCAGCTATAGTTTATAAATAGTAGGTAGTTTATAAATAACTGTGTGTATACAATGTTTTCATCGGTAAACGTTGCTTTGCTACATGTGTAATTTTTTTTGTGAATATCGTTTACCGGATAAAAGTTTCGATTTGATAGCCCTCGAAATAGAGGATAAACTGATGCTTTCGACGTCTCCAACTTCTTCGAGCACAGAATATATCTCGCTTAATTGCGTAGAACCCTTTACTCTTTTAAGCAGTTCAATAAGTTCAAGATCACCGTCCGACAGCTTTCTACTGTGATCTCCTCCTTTTGGTAGCGGATTAATACGTTGCCGTTGGCAAAACTCCCTCCAGACCATGCAGACAGAATTGTGGGCAACACCGATTTCTTGAGCGATTATGAAAAAATTATGAGCCGGATCGCCTCCTGTTTGTAAACATTTATCAACTATTAACATTCGTAAGTCATCACTTAAAGATTTCCCCAAATGGTAAGTTCTACCTTTTTTACTGATGTTCATCGATTTTGCTTAAAACTAACGCAAACATAAAACGTACAAAATCTGTTTTAAAACGAGCACTCAAGTTTGTACAACATGCAGGGGTCTATTGTCAAACATGTCACATGTCACGAAACGTTTTGTTTCCATGTTATATAATTAGCATGTTGACACGCCCAACATGCATGACCTAAATTTCAACGTAAACAAACGCGTTCTAAAGTTTGCCTGTCACGGTTGCTTGCAAATTGTAATTATATTGTGTTGGTAGCCGTTGCCGTCGCGTTGCCGTCCTAAATCGAAAGGTCTCTAATATACACTACCTTTCAACAACTTGTTTTGCAGCTAATATCAGTGAACGGCTAATATTCGTGATCTATAGCTGCTTTAGTTTTTATATTCTCACGTCTTACACTTGAATTTACCCAGACTAGGTTTTTGTATCTGCGAAGCAGATATATTGCCATCGTGCGCGTACCGGAAATTTGTAAGCGTGCTCATAGCCAATCAACGACAGCTTATAGATGAAATGACGTAATGATACTAATTTCAAAATGGCGGCTTACTGAAGTGTGAAACAAAAGGCAATTTGTGAATATACGAAATCAAATGCAGTTTAAAACAACGTCATTTTACTAGTCTGAATATGGCAAATATCGCTAGTGCATTTTTGGCAAGCATTTGAAAGGTTTCATCATTTAATACGCAGTGGAAACGAAATGATTTGCAATTTTGGACAAGAAAATTATTGACTAATTGGCATTGAGAATACTATTATGAAATTATGGAAGTAATGATTCTTCCACATGTTGCCGTTGTTGGTGTATATCGAGTTGTAAGTGTTGATGTTGATGTTTATGTACTTCTCAATTTAACATTTTCATTGGTGACTTAGTTAATATAAATTAGTTGAATGAAACCAATAGAAGGCTATATAATTTCGTAAGGTTACATAATTTCTTTATCAATGATTATAACTATAGACAATTGGTGTCTTCTTTCATTACAGACTTTGATAGATCATTTTTATACAAATTTAGCAGAGTCAGAAGCTAAGTCACACATATTGGAAACAGGGCCGCCCAGAGGGGGGGGGGGAAGTGGGCAAATTGCCCCGGGCCCCAAGTTGCTGGGGGCCCCTGAAAAATTTTTGTTGGGCCCCAGCCTTTTTTGTGTGTTAAATATTTCCGCGCAAAGAACAAGATATCTGTTTTCTTGGGCTAAGTACCGAATTTTGGCATAAAAAAATGAGATAAAGTTCCTTGAAAGTAATTGCAACGTACTAGTCCGGAAAAATTTTGTACTCCGGAAAAATGTTTTTACCCCTAAAATGGTACACTGACCGAAAAATTTTTGGGGACCGGGGGAGGGGGGGGGGAGGTTGTTGTCCGGAAAAAAAATTTTCCGGGAAAATTTTTTTAGATAAAACCCCTAAAAAAAAATTTGCCCCGGGCCCCCGCCAACCTCTGGGCGGCCCTGATTGGAAACATTTCTCTTAAAGCACTTTATGGTAGTATGTGCATTGAATAATTGCTTTCATTAAAGCAAAGCCAAAGTAATAACGGCTGCATCATAAAGAGCAGAGATTCAGTTTTAGATTGGAATATCAATACTTAATATAGTAACAGTTGTAACCAGTCATAATTATTAACTATATATCCTGGACGGGGTGCTCCCTTCTTCATCGACCCTGATTTCTGCAACTGAATGTCATTGCCAAGAACACCAGTTAAGCAATTTATATCCCCCTTCACCTATCCCAGTTATATTGTCTTATAATCAACAACAACCATATGTCATAATGGGATCTTATTTAATATAGCACACAATGGACAAAACTAACATAATATTCTGTTTAGTGGATTTTCTTCCACGACAAAATATTATTGCATGGATCTGTATTGCTGAATTATATCATTCTATTCAAGAACTATATGCATCGATTATACTTCTAATTTCCATACCTGTCATCATTTGTTGCTGATGAATGACTTTCAATATATGACCTATTTGATATATTTACTAGGCATAAACAGTTGATTTGTGTGCCATCAACCCTGACTATGACATTTTCTAAAAGGAAATAGATTATACTTAAAAACAATTATAAACAGCAGAAATGTTGATGTTATGTATGTATCAATTATGGTATAAGAAGGCTTCCAAAACTTTGCAAAATGTAAAGTTAAAACTATTAGACATAAACTTCTCCAGCAATTCCTGGATAGTTATTAAGTACTTGTTTTTCAGTAGTTGATCAATATAAAGCGCCCGAGCTGGCTCGCATCCCCGAGATGAATTTCACCACGCGCGTTTACATGAAACTTACATCAAGGGCTGGCTCTTCGTGTTCTTATTTTTTTTGCGTAAACAACTCCATATATGGTAGTTGGTTCCTTATATGGGAGTTGTTTGTGCATTCTGAATTATTCTAATTATTTGCGCATGCGTATTTGCTGAATTTCCAGCCCTACTAGGAGGGCTAGCCCTCCCTGTTGCGTTTATATGGAAAACTACCCAGCTCGTTTACCCGAGGTCTCGGGTCACACGAAGCGGGACCTCGGTTAGGCGGGCCAGCTCGGTTCTCATATAAACGCAACATGAAATTTAGTAGGAAATATTAACAAAGACGGGATCCTGCCTAAAGCGAGCTAGCTCGGGTGCCCGAGCTGGCTCGCCTCATATAAACAGCCCCTTAGTCTCCAATACTTCAGCGAGTCATGCTTTGGAAATGACAATATTTTTTTATTACCCAACCCTTGAGTTGTTTTGTTTTTCATTTACCCAACCTTTTACTTACTCAAAATTTAGTTTACCCAACCCTTTTCTCTTCGGTGCCACCCCCCACCATAAATAATGACCGGTCCCTAATGTAGTAATAATACAGTAAGTTTATGTGTTTGCAATTTTTGTCACTGAAAAGCCCCTTCAGGGGAGTGTCAATAATGTCAACGAATCAATTAATCAACAATGAACAACAATGTATATTGGCACCACCTGTTATCCTGACAACTTCTATGCATCTACCATGTTCTCGCATGCCTGCTAAAGTTTATTATGAACTATCAAGAAGATTTGGAACCCGAAATGTTTTAACAAGAACACAGAGATGGATTTACTTGGGGGGGGGGGGTTGCACCCCCCTAGCCCTGGCCAGAGGGGGTGCAGGAGGGGGGTCCTATTTTTCGTGATAAACAAAAATTATTAGGAACAAAATGAGATACAGAAATTTGAGTAATAATATGATGATAGGCAAACTGTGAACAACAATTACAATTCAAATACTGTAGTCAAGCAAGACTTTGCAATAGTGAAGCAAGTTGATGGGTGGGTGGCACACATGACCGACACAACTCGGCACCAGAGCGGGCAGAGTACCCCCCCCCTTTATCAGATCATGCTGGATCCATCCCTGCAAGAACATTATAAAATTAAGATGATTCAACAAGAACATCATAAAATTGAATATCATCTTTGTGACGTTATGGCCGGAATTAGTTTCTGCAAGTTGAATATATATCAGCCATTTTATTTTTCTTTCATCTGACATACTATAAATCTAACTTTATTTAACTGGTCAACTGTTAAACATCAGTCCCTTAAATTTTTTTACAAGCTACTGAGTGTTGATTGAAGCCTTGGCAAAAGTGCAATCACCATGAGCAGATACATGTACGCTTAGCGTACCTATTTTTTATACAATCGCTCACTTTCCAAGTGAGCTGTAAATGTAACTGAACACATTGTTTAGCCTTGCGTTTCGTACGGTTGGTGGCTGCAGTTCGTGCAGTAACGTGATTGAGTTCGTGCAGTTCGAAGCTGCGCGTCAATAATTTGAACGCAAATAAGAAAATCATGCACAGCGTCGTGTTCTGACATAGTTGAAGTATTCCATAGTACATTTCATCAGGAACAGAAACGTGTATTGTGTTAAAGTATTTTAGAATTGCAGTAATCATCCATTATTAAGCAGGCTCCATTGAGTGCCAGCAATATTTAGGCAGCTCGGTTGAATATATTATTGCTTTCTTATTAATATATTTGCACAAGGGCTCTAATGCCTGGTTCACACTGGTCGTAAGAATCGGGGATTTCCATTGTCTGTGGTCATTGGTGTGCAAAATGCTTTGTCTTTTGGAAAAGAATACAATAGATCGCCGATGAATTACGACCAGTGTGAACCAGGCTTAACTATAAGCAGAGGGTTTTTTTTTTGTGAGTTGTAAGGCAGTATCCTTGATCTGTTTAAAGTTTCTTACAGCGAAGTATTTTAAAAAGAATATGTTGATAACCTTTTCTATATTTGATAATATGTCTTATTCCGTAGATGAAAGCATTCACGATAGAATTTATTCCATAAAATTCATAGTGACAAACTACAAACCACATCTGTTTGCATGAGTCGTTACAGGAATAGTATAGGACTGTCCCAACCACATTTGGAATGAGAACACAGAACACCAACACTACCACAACAATAGAAAATGTCTTAACTGCTTTATGAGCGCGAAAAAATCCATGTATAGCCGACATTTTGTTTACAGGTTGACGATTGGAAGATGTAACGGGTAGCGCTGTTTCAGCCAAGATACGTTTTCGTTGTTTCTCCGCAACAATTAAAATCCAGATATTAAGAATTATTATTAAAGTAAGTGGTAAGAAGCCAACAAAACTATAAATAAAATGATGATGTATATAAACGTTATTAATGTCGCAAAAGTTTCCTAATCCGATGTTATATATAAAACTAACATTAACAACGCAAACACAGCACGTAGTCAGCCAAATTCCTGAAATAGCCAGAAAAACTCGTCGTTTGGTCACAATCAGTGGATACTTGAGAGGTTTTACAATATACAAATAACGATCAACAGTAATTACGAAGAGTGTAGCCATTGAAGCGAACAGCAATGACCAGACGGTAGAACGACTTAATTTACAAAACAGATCCTGATCACCATCAATGTTCAATAAAGTCTGTATAAACTCGATGATCCATATTGGATAAAATGTTACACACACGAGAAGATCGGCCAGAGCCAAGTTTCCTACCAAGTAAGATGTCGCTGTCTTTTCTTTGCTCAAGAAAACTGTATAAATTATAACTGTGATATTTCCCAAAACTCCAACAATCATTGCGATGGATTTAAATACAATTGATGAAAGAAGAATTTCGCTAGGTACTGTTGGAAAATGCGTTGAATTGTTTGCCATGGTTGTATTTGGAGAAAGATAAAGACAAGAATGTCTGTTCAAAGCATTGAATATGCCACTGGATGTCTTTTTAGAACAACAAAAACAGCAAACACTTCAGAGCCGAATTATAATTTGCATGCTGAGTTTGTATAACGGTCTTTAACAACTAGAAACGAGCAAACAAATGTCAAATTTCTGACTGAGTGAGCACAGATGGCTAGCTTTGTGTCACACCTTGGTCCTACAATGACAAATATAATGTTGTACGTTTAAGTTTGGAGTGAAATTCGTGCAAATGCTTTCTTTAATGAGCAATACGCCTCAAAAATTCACTGAAGAGTTTAAAGTATCACAAAATTAAGTATTAATTTATTGCAAGTATACCTAAAGCATATTAGATAGATAGATGGATAGATAGATAGTTTATTAAGTTTAAAATTTTTACAGCTCCCAATACAACCACAGCTGAATTATACATAAACTTTACAATCATGACTAATTAAATATATCTATTTTAAAAATTTGATTAAAACTATGAAAAATGTATCTGTCCTAAATTAGTTTGTTTTAATTTATTATTGCGCAACACTACAATTGGGTTTATATGTATTGTTCCTTTACATTTGCCATAATAAAACTGTTTTGGAATCTGTTCGTTTTACACACTGGATAGTTAAACATGTTCTTACGTCTCAAATTCATACTAGATCTATTTTTCTCTGGTAACAGTGCATGCAGTTTATGAGATGTATTTTGAACAATATCGTTGAACAGTTTTTTCGTTAGAGTATCTCTTCTGCTGTACAAGGAGTCCAAACCAGCTTGCTCTAACGCATCACAATATGGTATATGTGGGAAAATGATACCGAGTGCTTGTTTTTGTAGTTTTTCCAAGTCATCAGATAGATATTTAGTGAGAGAATTATGGAAAACGTGACAGGCATATTCTGTTACTGGACGCACGCAAGTTAAGTAGAATAGCAGCATCTCTTTCGTTGCAAGGCCAGCTCGTTTAAGTTGTTTAAGAAAGTACAGTCTAGTTGACACTTTTCGTACGATCTTAGAAATGTGCGTATTCCACTTAAGATCATTTGAGATGTTAAGACCTAATAGCTTTACCGATGTAACAACTTCAATGTCTTTGTCATTAATGCGAATAGGGGCAAAATCGGGCTTAAACTTCGCGAAAGATATGCGTAACTCTTTGCACTTCGTTTCATTTAACTGAAATTTGTTAGCTAAGGACTGGTTCGACAGATCTTCGACGTACTCTTGCATGGCACTTGCATCATTCTTCAACACAGTTTCTGCAACCGTTGTATCGTCAACATACTTCCACTGGTCAACATCTGCTACACCAACAGTGTTTATCATAATCAGATAAAGCCATGGACCAAGTTTAGTTCCTTGGGGAACACCGGCTGGAACAGTTCCCCATTCTGAGTAGCAATCGTTGCTCAGTTTCACCCTTTGTTTACGATCCGTCAGGAAATCGAGTATCCAGCACACAATGCACGGCGGAAGGTCATAGTTGGAGAGCTTTCGTTTAAGGATGTTATGGTCGATCAAGTCAAAGGCTTTTTTAAAATCGAATAAGACCACTCTAACAGATGATCCAGACCCATCCGTAGCTTTATTCCAACAGTGAAGCATACTAATTAGCGCTTGTGTTGTAGATGATTTTGGAACAGTTCCAAACTGTTCATTCCCAATCTTCTTTAGGACAGCTGGTTTGACAAAATCGCGAACTACAAAACCCTCGCCAATCTTAGAAAGGATAGATGTTAAGGAGATTGGACGAAGGTGCTTGTTGACATCAGATATTGGCTTCTTTTTGGGAATCGGTACAATATCTGCTTTTTCCAGGATTTTGGTAACCGGCCAGTACTATACGAGTGGTTTAATATATCTTTCACCGAATCTGCTAGTAGGTCGGCGTTTTCTTTCAGCAACCAAGTTGGAATGCCATCTGGGCCGTGAGCTTTAGTTGGAATCAACGATGAAAGTTCCTTGTACACATCATCAGCGGTAACTACAAGGGCGGGGTAATTCAGGGGTAATTCATCATTGGCATCATGTAGTAACGGCTGGAAGGTATTCATTGGAGTAAGAAAGGTTGAGTTGATCATGTTAGCTAGATCGGTGCTACTAGCGTTTAGTTCTAAGTGTTGCAACAGATTTACTAAATCGTCACGCGTTCCAGCTGTTGGTGTCATTCCACTTAGTTTCTTTACCTCTTTCCACCAAAGCGAGGGTTTGCTTTCTTTTAGATGTTGGACTTTGGCGTGATAGTACTTTGATCGGCATGTCTTCCGTTCTCGATTAACACGATTCCTTAAGCGTCGGAACTCATCATGATTTCCTTGGGCAAGAGCTATTTGGCGACTTCTTATGAGGCGTTTGAGGGTAGAATTCATCCATGGAGGTTCACTCAGATGTATTGTTTTGGGTCGAAGAGGGATAATGTGATCTAGTCCATTCTTGACTATCTCCTCAAATAAGGAAACCTTTTCCTCACAAGTGTAATGTTCGTGGTTTTGTATCAATATCAAGCACTTTTAAGTGTAACAATAGATATCAAACAACTTGTACAAACAGCATAGTACGTATCCAATTACTTCCCGGTTCCCTAGCCTCGTGCTTCTAAAATACTTAACTAACTTTCTAGTCACGTGTGTGCTAGTGTCAATAATGTCAACATTGCATCCCTCCCTTGATTTAAATATGAACTCTAGTACTAACTATAACAAAATATGCATATAATGTTTAAACTGTATCTTATCTGTTTTAGTCCAGGTCAATCATAAATGTTATTTCCATATCTGTACCCCCGCTGTCTTTCTCTTGCCGGATATCTCGGACCATCATCTTGTCTCTGACCATTGTTCTGCCGCGGACGATCATTCTGTCTCAGTCCATCATACTGTTCATGCTCTTCGTGGACATCTTCATCTGAGGAATAATTTTCTTCATCCATTATCTCTGTTGACTCCAACGATCTGCCATGTCTGGGGTAATACTTTTTAAAGAACGAAATGTTCCGAGTTATATATTTCCCATTCCTAATTGCTGTGATTCTGTTCCCACGGCGATTTGTGACTTCATATGGTATTGGATCGTATTTTGTGGACATTTTATTTGCTTTCGGTTGCCGCACCAAAACTAAATCACTTTTCTTGATGTCAGCACACTTAACTCTTCTTTTGGAATCAGCATATTCTTTTTGGTTCTTTTTCAACCTTTCATCTCTCTCCTTCACCTCTTGATGAAGTGAAGAATCATTTTCGACTGTCACTTGAGGTAATTTTGTTTGAATCTTACGGTTGTATAGCAACTCGGACGGTGACTTGCCAGTGGTGGAATGTGGGGTAGCTCTGTAGTTGAGCAAAAATTTAAACATTTCACGTTTCCAGTCTTTGTTTTTGTGGTATTTTTTTGAAGGCCTTCGATTCTCTTGTTGACCGACGCGAGCCTTGCGAGCACTACGACAGACTTTCGCAAAATGGTTTGATTTTCCACAGTTCAGACAAGATTTTCCTTTCGCGGGACAAATATTGTTGTTATGGGGCCAAGGCCCCCCACAATTCCGACACTCTGATGAGGTGTAAAAGTCTTGGCGGTGAAACGATGTATGTTGTTTATCACGATAGTTGTTATGTTTCGTTGTAGGATGGACAGCTTCAACTACTTCGTCATGTGTGTTGAGTCAAGTGCGTTTTCAATGCCGGTTGCCTGCGATTCACTGAGTTCAAAAGCTCTGCCTTTTGCGAGAATCTTGGCTAGCGTAACTTCCGAGTCAAGCAGGGCGTAGCGTCGTGAGACGTTTCGATAAACAGGTTTGAATTATGGCCGATTTTACTTCCTTGTCGATATTTTCGAAGTCACAGGTTGCCGCCAGCTTCCTAAGACGAGTTGAAAACTGATCGATTGTTTCATGTGGTTGTTGTTTGGCTTCACGAAACTTAAAAATTTCAAAATCGACATGTTTTTTAGGTGAAAATACGTATCGAGGGCAGCGATAGCGGAATCATAGTCGTCGTCTTCGCCGATGTCAACAAGGGTATCAAAAATATCCTGAGTCTCTTGGCCAGCTTGGTACAACAAGAGAGCCCGCTTTTGTTTCTTTTCAGTCACATTCAGAGCAACAAGATATGTTTCAAATCGTCGTTTCCACTTTTCCAGCGCTGACTGAGAGAGTTTGGATCGGACATAGGATCAAATGGCGCCATTGGAGCTACATTGATTCGGCCAGTCGCCATGACTGTATTCGTAAACTAGAGATTTCAAAATCGTTTGTATTGTAAACGATAGCTGTTTTTTTTTTGTTTGTTTGTTTACCTCGTCGCCAATGTAATGTTCGTGGTTTTGTATCAATATCAAGCACTTTTAAGTGTAACAATAGATATCAAACAACTTGTACAAACAGCATAGTACGTATCCAATTACTTCCCGGTTCCCTAGCCTCGTGCTTCTAAAATACTTAACTAACTTTCTAGTCACGTGTGTGCTAGTGTCAATAATGTCAACATTGCAACAAGTAGACACGCTGTTAAGCATAGACGCGACATCAACGAGCTCGAGGTATGATCGAACGGCTAGACGGTTGCTGGCACGCATGTCTCTCGATTTCACTTTTTGTTTCGATGGTGGGAAATGAGATCTTGCTTGGGGTTGGACTTCGACGGATACATGATCTGAGAGGCCAAAGGGGGCTCGTTTGATCGGATCTTTAAACATTTCTTTGAGGTTAGTCAGTACTAAGTCTAGGGTGTTAGAACCTCTAGTCGGAAATTTGACAATTTGTTTTAAATTGTAGCTCCTATTTAAACTTGCAATGTTTAGTTGATTGAAATCGCCAAGAAGGATAATTCCACTGTTAGGGTACCGCGATTCGATGGTTGACAAACAATTTGTAAGATATTCTAGCATAGCAAAATCACTGGAGCTCGGTGGATGGTAAACAATTCCCAAGACTATGTTATTTACGCCCCTCGGGAGTCTTGTCGGACGAAGTTTAATCCACAAAACCTCGAGTGGAGATTCGGATAAGTCCTCGAGTACAATAAATGGAATCAAGTCTTTGATGAAAACACAGACTCCACCGTGCGAACCTTCCTGTCGATCTTTTCTTATTAGATTGAACCCGTTTATTGACACCACAGAGTCTTGGATGTGGCAATGAAGCCAGGTCTCAGTCAAACAAATTAAGTCTAAGTTTGCATAATGGGCATAATGGCGAACTTCGTCAATCTTGGGTGCTAGCGACATTACGTTGGACAAAAGCACAGATGGAAGGAACACATTCTCTGATCTTGTCTGTAAATTGGCATTTGTAACAGTACTCGATAAAGGAATGTATGTACAATTCGTTGGATTATGAGTTCTTAAGAATTTTATGACTGCACGCTTGATTTCCCTTCGGCTCGATTGAACAGTGTTTATCTTGAAAAGTCTTGTCGCTTCTCTCTCCTTTACCAATCTTCCCGCTCTCCGGCCACGATAAAGCGACCATATCTTCTTTGTAGAACAATTACAATTTAAAAACGATCGAAAATAATTCATAGTGATCAGTACAGCGAAGTAAAACTAAAATATTTGAGGAGGATATAAAAATGCAGCCATCCGAGGCGCATACATAAAACGGACTATTAGTGCAGGCAAGTGATGCTCTATGTATTGACCATTTTAAGTGATTGTAAGGCATGGAATATTGAAGTTTTTACATGCAGTATATAAATTATAAAATGTATAAAGACATGATATATATATATAATAGATAGTGAAGGGAAGGACCGATTGTGTATCGCAAAACGCAATGTTTTGAGGATTTTTAATATTTGATGACAAAACATGTTAAAATTTAAACTTGTGCTATATAGCACTACTCAGCGGCGTAGCCAGCTCGATAATTGGGGTTCCATATTCATATATTCGTGTTCACAGACCTTAAAACAATCTATTTCAAAACAAATTAATAATGCAGAACACAAACCGATATTAATATGGACCTCCCCAATTATCGAGCAGGCTACGCCGCTCGCATTACTCAGGGGGCAGCTCATGTCTCTTTTACCTAAACAGCGAATTTAAGCAAAGATTAATTTAGCTAGTTTGGGCCGTTACAATTAAGGAACAGTCTTAAATTTCGCACCTTAAAAACTGCAAACTTCCGATGTTAGGAAGTTAATAAGCTAGAAGGACATTGCAACGATGACGACACATAAGTATATTTAATGACAATCATAAAATTGCAGAAAATAAATTATTAACAAAGGCATTAGATATCCTCTCGTTCAGTTTACAGTACAACGGCAAATCACAGCTGATTACCACGCTTTATATACATTGGCGACTTTTCAAGCTGGGACAACGGTTATTTCAAATTGATTCCAAGAACTCTTCTCAACAATTAAACCTTGTCTTAACCTCGATCCTTAAACCGTATTAATTTCATGCCCCGGGTTTCCTATCAATTATTTAGTTCAACGAGTTACTAGTTTGCCGCAGTGGTAGCGTCGCCGTCCCAAATGCTTGTCAGCTCGCTAGTGTGGGGCAGGAAGGGGCCGCAGGTTGCCTAACGTTACTAGCCATATGAACAACGCGAAAAAAAGCATTCGTAAATAATGACAAGCTGTCATGTTGTTTTATTTACAATGTATTTTATAAGGCCACATAAAAAAAATAGTTGGTTAGCGTCCTCGCCCGCCCACAAAAAAGGCCCCGCTCAGGATTTTTTTTTATTTTTTATTTAAAAGAACTCCAACTTTTATTGATCAACGGGCTCTAATATATATAGTATTTCTGTTCACGTGCTGTAGTCAATTGTGTTAATAAATTGGAACATTGCGTGCGAAAATGACGGTATGAATCATATTTTGAAATATATAAAAAAATATCTGCACTGCGCAAGAACTGATCAGTTTCGGGCCTAAAACCAAGGCGTTAAAAATTAGTAAAAATTAAAAAAAAAGCGCCCGCCCGCCCACTTTTTGGCAAAAGCTAAGGACGCTAACCAACTTTTTTTATGTGGCCTTATATTTAGCGCCATGCAACGAACAGAAGTAATTGTTCCAATCAATGCCGAAATTGTTCAACAGTACTAGTTACAAGCAATCTGTATCTGTCAAGAAAAATTTTAACGAACATTGCTGCCGACAAAAATTATTGCTCAGAAGTGGTTCCTCACCGCTTGACGTTGCTTCCACGCCACACTGTTAAACAAAACTTTGTAGCCTTCTCCAGGTTTGGTTAAATCCTGGTTTTGTTACAAAAATTTGCTCATCTAGCTGTTACCGAAACGGGAAGCCATTACGGTTTTGTCCGGAGGTGAAAAGTGCAATGAATTCCGGAACTGAGCACTATACACCTCTCAAGTATATGTTGAAAAGAAATATTGCGTTCCCGCCAGAAATCGTGCGATACATAGCTTGTAGCGCTTGCCGTGCTACCATTTCAAACAAATAACTTGGTCTAACAAAGCAAGCCAGCCCCGTTTGCTGGGCCAGCGCGTCAGCCTATAATAGCGAACTTAAGCAATGAAGACGAACCACGATATTAGTTTCGTGTGAGGTTTACACCATACATATTCTAAATAATAGCGTCATTCATGAAAATTCAGTTGAGTTTTTTTTTTTAAAAGTGCGGAAACATCGTGGCAATGTTTACATTTCACATTAGTCACGTGATTGAAAAATCCAGGCGTCCTTCTGTAAAACAGGTGGTCCACGATATTAGTTTCAAGTATCTACCATCACGATGGGACGTGGTAAAGACTTAACAGAAGGCGAGAAAAACATTATCATAAAAGAAATAGCTAAGGGTAAAACAACCAAGAGTATTGCAGAAAGTATAAATCACCATGTTGTGACAGTTAAAATATTTTTGCAAAATCCTTCTGAGAGGGAACCTCGATCTGATCGCGGCGTGTTGAAATCTGTAACAAAGCGAGATATGGACCGATTGAGGAGGAGCATCCGTGAAATATCTGGAGAAACAAATGCAAGAAAAAAGGCTGGTCTACTAGATGGTACGAAAACCACCCGCAATCGTCTCCTCGGAAAAGTAGCTGTGATCAAGAATCCGGATAAAAGACCTCCCCAGACATCAAGGCACAAACGTTTGCGCATGGAATGGTCAATGAAGTATATGAAAACTGAATTGATTAAGTTTGTCCTATTGACCGACGAGTCAAGAGCTACATTAGATGGTCCTGATGGCTGGGGTAAAGGATGCATGGGTGTTTAACGCTGATCATTGTCGAACGAGGATGAGGCGTCAACAAGGTGGTGGAGGCGTTATGATTTGGGGTGGTATCATTGGAGATGAGATCATCGGTCCCTTTCGTCGTGTTTCCGAAGGAGTAAAGCTGACATCCATTACGTATTGCCAGTTTCTGAAGAATGCACTCGAGCCATGGCTGGATGATCTTCCTTTGTCACGACTGAAAAAGATCACCTTCATGCATGACAATGCCCTATCCCATGCAGCAAAGGCTACAACAATTTTTTTTAATCGCTAGGATTCGAGAATGATACGATAATGGTTTGGCCTCCAAATTCCCTAGACTTAAATCCTATAGAAAACTTGTGGTCCGTAATCAAGGCCCATGCATGTTTATGTTTATGGAATCTTCCCTAATGGAAGCAATATTCTTCCAAAATGACCTCTGGATGGCAATAAAAGAATCTGCAGCTTCCATCCCTAAGTCTGCCATCAAGACACTTACATATTCAGTGAACGACAGACTTTATGAAGTCATCAGACGTCACGGCGCTCATGTTAATAAGTAACTCGAGACTATGTCACGTTTTCCTATTCTATCACTGAGTGAATTACTAAAATTTTGTGTTATTGTATCTACATTGAAAATAAATTCGTATCAATAAAAAAATTAGTCGATAAATTATTTTCCATTTCTTTCTGATGCAGTCAACTTTGCATCCTAGTACCCAGGGACTTTTTGGGAAAGACTCTGGTATCGGCTGGTCACGTGACTGTACAAAAATTAATTGCCCAAGGGGGAGTGGCAAAGTATCAAATTACATGCTTCCACAGAAAACGTTAAATTTCAAATACCAGGAGTGGGATTTTACGATATATATATAGTTCGAAGCGCCCGCTAACTTCTATTTTATACCTCTGTTTGCTTTTAAATTACAAAAACACTGTAGCATTTTATCAACAGTCAAGTCAAGAAACAAATAAAATATATACTTCTCTCACAAACATCGGTCATATCAAACTGGTCAGTCGTCAACGTTTGTACATTTTCACTTTTATCTGTTTCTACAAAATATGCCATTAGATTTGTTGCTTGAAAACGATGATAAACTTTGTGCAGATTTACTAATAGTACGCGTCTCATTTAGTGAAGTTTGATAAAATTTTGAAATGTAATTAACTTTTTGTCACAAATCACAATGTAAACATGTGGACACTGCCGAACAGAGACTAAATGCTCACTTTAAAACTGTCGATGGTTTATCTTTGAAAAAACACTTTAATTTTAATTAAATAGTTCATCGTATTTATTAAAAAACCCAGTAGATCGTACGTAGGGTAGGAGGTTGGCAGGTAGTGAAGTACAACAATTTTCAGCCTCAGGGCGTATATCATCAGGTGGTATATACAATCACGGCTTTAGCCTGGGGTAACAGCAATATTTATAACAGTATTTTTCTGATATACAGTACACACTTTATAATATGAACATAGTCATATATAATTACATAAACCACGGAATAAACAACGGCATAAACCACGGCATAAACACTGATATCACACTCAATCTGATATGCATATGCAGTCATGTATGTACCCACCACAGATATAACGCTTACATAGTCTTAGAGTTTGATTCAGTATTATATTTCACAAAGTACTTCATTACAGTAAAGTACTTTCATTACAGTAAAGCTATTTAATGTCACAATGAAAGCTATTTATCAAATTTATCATGCGGACTGCATTCTCTAAATGTCCCTAAATGTCAAACATATACAGTATTCGTATTTGTAACATACACGCACAGACGAGTCTTTGACTTCGTCAAAGAAATCTTTGAGTAGGCTTTTGTCGGATTATTTTACCGTAGGTTTGATAACAGGGAGGTATACTTGGACATATTTCTTGAGCATCAAGTTTGAACAGATTCTGGTTTTTCGTATCTCTGATGATGGTTCTGAAGTTTCAGCAGTCCGAGTAGCATTGTTTACAAGCAACATAGTTTGCGATTTTTCAGAAATCAAAAGATCTCTATATTTCGTTACACATCTCAGAATTAAATAAATCCTTTAGCAGTTTAGGATAGACATCAACAGCTAAATAACAGCCATATCTGTCGGTACCGGTGTAGAAATATATTTTCTCGTAAGGTTTGCGGCGTGTTGATTTCTTCGACGAGCTGTATCGGCATAATTTGTCTATTGAAATCTGATCTATCCGCTCACCGACATTCTGCGCACAATGAAATTTGATATTTACTATTGTGTAACATTGATAGTATTCATGACAAATAAAATACACAATTTTGTAAATATTTCCTGCATGATTTCTTGGTTATTTCTTCGCTCACTCCGACAAAACGTACTTAGGTACCCACCCTAATTGAAATTTTTTGTTATTTCCCGGATTCTGGGAGACACGTGACCAGCCGATAGCAGGGTCTTTCCCAGCAGGTGGAAAGTCCCTGCGACGGAGGTTGTCAACTTTGCTTTTCCGAAATGAAAGTAATATCGTGGGTCTGTAGAAAAAGGCACAAAATCAAAATAATGAAGGTTCACGTTTCCAACGATAACAATTTGTTAAACTCAATTTAGTCTTTGAAGTATTGCTTGATAACTTTATAAACAACATTGAAAAGTTTCAAGCCAGAAATGTGTCAACTTAATGACTTTTACGAGATCTGGTACTTAAACTAGTGAATATCGTGGTTCGCACTGTAGTACAGAGACGTGGCAAGAAACAGCCCTATATTTTAATTTATACTTTTAAAATTATGAAGAATTACTGCTGTGCATGAGAACCAAATAAAATGAAAGAATTTGTTGAGAAAGATACGCTTGTTTCTGTATATATAATTCTATTGTTCGACCATACTTTACATATAGCTGTGATGAGATGTGTTTGGTGAAACACAATCGAAACGCCTCCAAAAGCTCCAAAACAGAGCTGCTCGAATCATAATGAATATGAGCAATGATGTAGATCATCTTTATATAGTAAAGCATTTGACACCGTTGACCATGCTGTTCTGTTGTGTAAATTAAAATCCGTTGGCTTGGATGACAATTCCCTAAATTGGTTCGAGTCCAACCTTTCCTATCGTCAACAAGTAACATCCATCGACAATACGCTGTCCAGCTCTCTATCAGTCGGCGTTCCACAAGGAAGCATTTTAGGGCCACTTCTCTTCATTATTTATATCAACGATATGCCCAACATTGTTAAACACTGCAAGATATTACTCTACGCTGACGACACTCTTCTATACTACTCATCCAAGTCAGCTAGTGACATTGAGAAATACGTAAACGAGGACCTTAACTTGATCTCCCAGTGGCTTGATCAAAACTTACTTACATTGAACTGCAAAAAATCTAAGTTCGTCCTGTTTGGTAGTAACAGCCGTCTGAAGTCGTTCACTAATATAGTATATCCATACATGTCAACGAACATCAACTTGCCCGTGAACGTACCTTTAAATATCTAGGTATAACTTTCTCAGAAAATCTCACTTGGTCTGACCATT